TGGAAATAAAATCAAATAAATTTAAAAGTGTAAAAAAAAAATTAATAATATATACTTAGATCATATATATATATATATATATATATATAATCTAAGTATATATATATACACATATACATACACACACGTACACTGTCTAGGTGTATTTTACTATTAATATATATATAATTATATATATATATTAATATCAAATTACACGTAGACTGATACTGATTATATATATAATTATTGTTATATATATATATATTTATATATAATATAAAAAAAATATGTAAATACGTTAAAAAATAAAATTAAAAAAATAATTAAAAATAAATAATTAAAAAATATATAGATGTGTGTTATTTCGTTCTAACTGTATTGTGAAATTAATATATATATATATATCAAAATACACGTAGAACGAAATAATATATATATCTATATACATAAATATATACGTATATATCACTATATATATACCTATATATAAATAAAAATATTTTTTAAAAATTATATAGATATATACATATATATACACATACGTATATATATACATATATTAATTCTACATATATATTTATGTAATATTTTTACATAATTAGGTATCTTAATTAATTACAATTAGCGGGACCTGCCTGACAACCCATGCCAAAAGTAAAGGGAATTTAATTTGCTAGCACTATATTTAACCCTATAACTTTCCAAGACACCATAAAACCTGTACATGGGGGGTACTGTTCTACTTGGGAGACTTCGCTGAACACAAATATTAGTGTTTCAAAACAGTGAAATGTATTACAACGATGATATCGCCAGTAAAAGTGAAGTTTTTTGCATTTTTCACGCACAAACAGCACTTACATGGACGATATTATTGCTGCGATACTTTTTACTGTTTTGAAACACAAATATTTGTGTTCAGCAAAGTCTCCCGAGTACAACAGTACCCCTCATGTACAGGTTTTATGGTGTTTTCAAAAGTTACAGCGTCAAATATAAGGCTTGCGTTTCATTTTTTTCATATTAAAATTCGCCAGATTGGTTAGGTTGCCTTTGAGACCCTATGGTAGCCCAAGATTGAAAATTACCCCTATGGTATGTCCAGTCTTTTTTAGTAGCCACTTAGTCACAAACACTGGCCAAAATTGGCATTTTCTGCATTTTTCACACAAATATTAACGCTAGCTTTGGCCAGCGTTTGTGACCAAATGGCTACTAAAAAAGACTGGACATACCCCATTTGCAATACCTTGGGTTGTCTACTATTGCAAATGGTATGTCATTATGGGTGTAAATTTCATTCCTGAGCTACTATACAGTCTCAAAGGCAACGTAACCAATCTGGCGAATTTCAATTTCAAATGTAACGTGCTATACTTGACCCTGTAACTTCCCAAAACACCATAAAACCTGTACATAGGGGGTACTGTCTTACACGTGAGACTTTGCTGAATACAAATATGTGTATTTTATTGCAGTAAAAGCAAACAGTATTATGACATTGACGTACTATTACGCCCGGCGGCGTTTAGAGCCGCTTAGAATAGGGCGTAATAGTACGCCCTCCGGTCTTAAGGGGTTAAAGCTAAAGAGTATGTCTGCAATAAAGAGTATCTGGGTTCATTCTTAAGGGGTTCCTATTAAATTGCCAATCTAGGATGTGCCAGTCTAAGTGTTAATAAAATAAACAAAATATAAAAATCATCTGAATCCCTGCTGCTTGTTTGTTGCAGATCTTCAACTATATTACATATAGTTCAGGTGATTCCATTCACAAAGTGTTCTAACTTGGAACTACTCTGCAAACTCTGCAAATGAAAAGGAAATGTAAAAAAACTCACCGAATAAAACTTTATCAGGGTTTCTTTTATGTGATTTCTATACAAGCTCTCTCATTCAAAACTATGAGATACCCTATATATAGGAACTGTATTGTGTGTTTTTCTCAACAGTCAAATCTCTTTAGAAAAAAAGAAAATACCAGTTTTCTGCAACATAAGGCTAGACACACAAAAACTCTTCACATAACCTATCAAATATTTTAAAATTCTGTTGCTTTCTTTACGGATGATAAATTGACTGATACATTTGGGGTAAAATATATTAAACAATTAAAGTACTAACCCTATTCATACTTGGGGAGATGTATTATAGTGGAAATGCAAGCTCTAGCGCACTTTATATAGTTGTATGTACGCTGTAAATCATTATTCGTGATAAATAAATATATATCTATACTTCATATAGGAGCGTACCAAACAAAGAAAAACCAAACTATTCTGACGTATCTGTTCTTAATTCAATGCACCAAGTTCTATTCTCAGAATACGACTGAAGTTCGTAGATTTAGTGTGAAAAGGAGTCTTTCTTTATTTATCTCTACATTCTTAGTATCATACAATTAGATACAGTTGTACAGTTTCTATCCTAACTCCTTACGGAGATTCTGTGTTTCCAAATGCAGCTTTGAACGTCATTGAGGATTAGCGCAGTGGGTTCTCCCTTACTCTGGATTTTACTACGAGCTGCCAGCCAAAACTTTAACCACTCTGTGGGAACCTGCTGCTAACGGAGCTGGCTGAACTTGTATTACATTTAAGGAAAAACAATTGTGCAAATGCAAATAACAATAAAAGTCTATGTAATAAAGAAAAGGAAAGGAAACACATGTGAATATTTAATTAGTAGATACATCTTCCACCTTTCAGATTTTGCAAAGTTTATGAATAAAATATTACAGCAATGATTGTTATGCAGAGAGAGAATTTTAGGGCAGATTTCACAATCAGGAATCAAAAGGCTTTGGATATTTTCATTGTACATCATTCTTCAATTCTATTGTGCACAGAGCTAATGCTTTATGTGTGAAAAGTGTGTCCTCTTTTTTTCCTTTTACAAAAAGCACAAACTACAAGAGAAATTTGCACTTGTATAAATTAATTTGTTACACCCCCCTCCGGCTGTCAAAAGGACTACTGGTCCTTTTACTTCCTTGTTTGGTTTGCTCAGTGGAGCTAAACTCAAGAAGCAGCAATAGCCCAGAGCACCTGCCTTGCAAATACTTCTTGTTGAGCTGCATTGGGAAGGCTGTGATTGGACAGCCACAGAACATGTGGGCTGGCTTAGAATGGGAGGGTTTACAAAGGCTGTAGACAAGAGATCTGCAGCATTTGCAAGCTGTGTTCAGATATATGTGATATATCCCCAATGAAAAAATCCATGCATATTTTCATTGAGCATATATTTACTAAACCATGACATATTTTAGCCTGTGAAGTGTCTCTATGTTTCTATGTGCAAACTAACTAACTTCAATGTACAGGCATATAAACATAAATAGCAGATTTATGTACATGATAGGCATACAAAGGTTAGCAGCAGATATTGAGTGGGGTGGGACATGCGGATGCACAGGAAAAACACAATTGTAGCTGTTGAAGTGCAAACAATGCCTTGGGATATAGTGACTAACACGTCTGTGGAAAAATCAACAATACTTTCACTTTTTCAGTAGAACCCATCCCTCTCATATTTAGCAATACAAAGCATTTGTATTATAACAGTCACTAACTCCTTTGATTACCAAGTAATGAAAAAATTAAGTAAAATTTGAAAAGTTTACTGAAAATTAAGAAAATATACATTGTATCATCTGTTTAGAGTAGAATATATGGAGATAAGTCTCATTGTTTTTTTTTAAGTAAAATAGAAGGATTTAGATAGCAAATGTCTCACAAAATCAAGGCATCATATTTGTCAAATACATCATTAAAGGGTCTCTCTAAGCACCGTAAAATATGGCTTCATTGTAAAGGTTATTTGCTAAACAGAGAACCCTAAAGTAATGTCTGCTTGCTTATTGTGATATTGAGTTACAATATAAAACAGTTTGGCTGCTATTAGGTTATCGAGTCATCCTATAGGATGAATGGAACTGTGGCAAGGGAAAAAAATTACATATCCCATAACTTTCTGCTGGCCCAGGTTCATGGCTTAAAATCACATTCCACAGTCTAGAATGAGATTAATCTGATTGGTGAAGTCTCTTCCTTGGGTGGAGTTTGTTGTATTCTAACACTTGCCTTTGCCAAAGAATCAGATTTGTAAAATGTATTGTGCATATTTTTATTTTATTTTTTATTTAGAATGATTTGTATTGTGCATATTTTTAAATGAATTATCAATATAACATGTTTTAAAAATGGGGTGGTTGAGCCAATTCCTGTACATTGAGTTCTTTAAACCCCTTAAGGACCAAACTTCTGGAATAAAAGGGAATCATGACATTTCACACATGTCATGTGTCCTTAAGGGGTTAAAGCAGTTGGCTTGGAATGCTGGCTATATTGTAGAATTAATGACAGTAAGAACAATTTCAAAGTAAAGAATGAAATAAAAAAACAGCTCAATTTTCTAGATGTTAAGCTGAGTGACATCCTGTCCATAAAGATAATTCAGAAAGATGGATGCAAATGCAAGCTAGAGAGAGAACAGTATACAGGGAGAAGACGTGGGTTACAATGTAAAAAAAAAAAAATATATATATATATATATATATAATATGTGTGTTAGACAACATTGCATGGTATGTTTAAAACATTTTATTGTTGATATTTGTCTTTTATAATACATTGTCCTATTGTAATCTGCACAACCACTATATATTTATTTTTTCATGAGTAAAGAATCGTCATTTTTATTAATTGGCATAGAAATAATAGTCCACAACTAGATCAGTTAGAATTCCCTCAGGCAATTGTCATTTAATAAAAGTCAGCCACAATTATTTTTATTATTAATTATGAAATGAAGACCATTGCATTCTCAGACCCATTTCCTCTAATGCTGGCAGTTACAGCAAAGCATAAAAAAAACTAATAAATACTCACAGTACAATTAATATACACAGTTTATTTACATCACACATGCAAAACGTTCTTAATTATTTAGCAGCGATTTTGATTTTGCATCCATGGAGAATTCACAAATGATACATCTCTCAGATAATAGGAACACTGCTGCGGTTTCTAAGATCCTTGTTCAGGGTATGAACGGTACAATGTTGCAGCATAAAACTGCACTCTCAGGATTATTATGCCAATTACCTCCAAAATGCTGTGGGCACTATATACCCAGTCTGGGCAAGCTGGGGCAGTTTCAATTCAACAGAGAATGATTTTCGGGTTTCAAAGTAACTATATGTAACTCACTTGTTTAACATGAACTATTTATTTGTGTTAAAGGACCACTATAGGCACCCAGACCCCTTCAGCTTAATGAAATGGTCTGGGTGCCTGGTCCAGCTAGGGTTAACCCTTTTTTTTTTTTTTAATAAACATAGCAGTTTCAGAGAAACTGCTATGTTTACACTGAGGGTTAATCCAGCCTCTAAAGTCTCTAGTGGCTGTCTCATTCACAGCCGCTAGAGGCGTTTGAGTGCTTCTCACTGTGAAAATCACAATGAGAAGACGCCAGCGTCCATAGGAAAGCATTATGAATGCTTTCCTATGAGACTGGCTGAATGCGCGTGCAGCTCCTGCCGCGCATGCGCATTCAGCCGAAGAGGAAGAGAGGAGGAGGAGAGGAGGCGGAGAGGAGGAGGAGAGCTGCCTGCCCGGCGCTGGAGAAAGAGGTAAGTTTAAACCCTTCCTCTCCCCAGAGCCCGGCGGGAGGGGGTACCTGAGGGTGGGGGCACCCTCAGGGCACTATTTTGCCAGGAAAACGAGTATGTTTTCCTGGCACTATAATGGTCCTTTAATTTGTATCTGGCTAATTAGATTACTGTTTAATTACCATTAAAAATATTTTTGTCATTCTACATATGCTACAGAATTCCTAATACTCCTGAGTTGTCAGAAAGATTAGATCGATTTCTAAATATTGCAAGCAATTTTACGCCTACCTACATCCTTAGTCCTTGGCGTTGCATCACTCCTACCTTGAAATAAAAAACTGAGGAATGAGAATAATTTGAGCCGAAAGGGACTTCATGTAGTTAAAATGCGTGGCACAAAGGTATTAATCATACCACATCAAACACTGCTTCATTATGTGAAGTGTTATATGTTTTATGTGTTGTGGTTTGTGACAGCCTACGCCTTCAACATGCATTCAACTTCTTTAGGAACAGTTTGTATTTTCTTTTCTGGTCCAAGCAGAATTCTTAAATGCTTTGAAAACAAGTTAAACACTACTTTGACTCCATTATGATTGCATGCATGAATTGTCTGTTTCAAAGGAACAATCATATTAAACTCTGTACTGGACAATGGGTAATGTCAATCATGCATTTTTTCCTCATAATGCATTGTTAGAAATACAATGTGCCATATTAGGTAGTTGGAGAGACCATTACCTAGATATAAACGTCACTGTCTACTTGAGATTAGTGGGAGATTTTCTCCTGGAAAACTGTTAGCATTTTAATTCAGTCATTCATCAATATTAATATTGTGTGGAGGTGCTGTGGAGACAGAGACCCAGTTCCCTTACTAACATATCACTATTAGGAGAGGAGCTGACTTGATTGACAGCATCTGCAAATAGTGTAACTACCACCAGTTTTCGGTCAGACCAAGACAGATATGTGCTGGTGCTGCCCTAAGATGAAAACAAAACCCTAGGTAGACCTAAACCTAGTCCAAGGTTGATCCTAATCCCAACCTTACTCTAAGACCTAACTCTAACTATAATATTAGCTCTTAACCTAATGGCAACCATTTTGAAGCATAACTACATACACATATTAACCTAAAATGTGCAGCCCCTAGAGAAGAGACACAAGACAGATATGTTCTAGTGCTGCCCTAAAATTAAAAAACTCTAAAGTAGACCTAAACCTAGTCCTAGGTTGATGCTAATCCCAGCCTTAATCTAAGACCTAGCTCTAACCATAATACTAGCTCTTAACTCAGTGGAAGCCATTTTGATACGTACCTACAAACACATATTGAACTAAAATTTGCAGCCCCTAGAGCAGAGAAACATTAAGATAAATAAGAGGATATATGGATTTGGGGCACATTGTGTTCCTCATAAATTGGGATGATTGGGAAATAGTTGAATTTAACAGGAACTATGAAGACATGCTTTATTTTATGTATATAACTAAAAAAATCTCATCTAAATGTTCTAGGGCATATTTCTTATTAATGTATATGCTGTTACAGTGACCATGCTGTGTACAAATATGTAACACATAGAGGAACTATCGTAAAGGTCAAAGAGTGTAATTTGGAAGATTTTCCCAGAATATTTTAAATGTGGTTTGGATCATGGAATAACACTTCGTGAAGATTTTATCTGTAAGTTAAAATAAAAGAACAGTTGACATTAGGTGTGGATGAGGCTGCACAGTTTATCTCATTACAGCGTATTTACTAGAGATATACATTTAGATAAAAAGCTCTGGTTTCAATCTGGATCTATTCTGGCAGAGACGAGCAGGCTTGGCCCAGATCCATTCTGCATTTATGGGAAATGTTTTGGTTTGTATCTCTTACTGCTTATATTTTTAAATATCTGTATTAAAGAAAATGTGCACAATGGTATAGTTTAAACTTTAAAGCAACTGTTTATTTGCTGTGAATTTGGTTACTGTGACAGTGTAAGTGTTAGTATTGGATATCCCTAAATCATAGTATTTAGAGGTAAAGGGTAACAAATTATTGATGGGGTATACAGTACAAACAAGACTGAATTCATGTATGCTTTTAATTATAAATATGTAAATAAATGATACTTTCAAAATAATAACTAAACTGGAATATACAAATTAGGTGCAGTCATTTTTAGTCTTGCTTTGTGTCCTTTTCTTGGCTGTTTTATAGTATATTTTGATTTATGATGTATATAAAGTAATATTTTGGACTAAATATATTACTATATATATTTTTTTCTCAGGGATTCCTGGATTGACAAAATTGTGTATTTAACCAATTAAGGACACAACTTCTGCAATAAAAGGGAATCATGACTGAATATTTCCGTCATGTGTCCTCAAGGGGTTTAAGGAACATTGTACATACAAATCTGTATTCTGAATACAAAGGGTTAAAACATTTTTTTTTTACTTGCCTCTTTCCATCGACAAGGCTCCCTTGGTGCTGCCTAAAGCTCCTCTCCCAGCAACATCATGGAGGAAGAATCTGTCTATGGTCCAATCGAATGCTCCTCATAGAGGAGCAATGAATGACCTAATGAGCATGTACAGTGCGTTCCGTGCGCACATTTAAACTTTACCATTGAATCAATGCTTTCCTATGGGGCTTCCACATAATGTAATTGAGTTTTACACAGTCAGTGCAGAAGAAACACTTCTAGTGCCTGTCATACTGACAGTCAATAGAGGTCATCTCCACCATGCAGGCTCGCTGCCTATGTGTTCTCTTTGACTCCGAACTCTCCTTCAAGCCTCATGTTCAATCTATCGCCAAATCCTGTCATTTCCATCTCAAAAACATTGCGCGCATCCGCCCCAACTTAACGCCAGATGTGACTAAGATGTTGGTTCATTCCACTGTCCTTTCTCGCCTTGACTACTGTAATCCGCTTCTCAGTGGTCTTAGGTGCTCCCAACTTGCTCCGTTACAGTCCATAATGAATGCAGCAGCGAGGCTCATCTTCCTATCTGCCTGCACCTACCATGCCTCACCCTTCTGTCAGTCCCTACATTGGCTTCCTATAAAATATAGAGCTCAATTTAAAATTCTGGTTCTTGCTTTCAAATCGCTACATAATGCTGCTCCCACCTATCTATCTTCCCTTATACACAAGTATGTCCTGTCTAGGCCCTTACGATCTGCTGAAGACTTACGTCTATCTTCTGTCCGTACTCCCACCTCTGATGCTCGCCTTCAAGATTTCTCGAGGGCTGCACCATTCCTGTGGAACTCACTTCCATCCTCTGTTAGATGCTCACCCAGTGCCCACTCCTTCAAAAAATCGTTAAAAACCCACTGCTTCATAAAAGCGTATCAATTAAACTGTTAATAGCTCCTGACTGTTTCCTCTTCTGCAACTGTCACTAGTCTAATACTATCCTTACCTTTTTGTGTCATTTTACCCCACTGCCCTCTAGCATGTAAGCTCATTGAGCAGGGCCCTCAATCCCTCTGTTCCCGTGTGTCCAACTTGTCTGGTTACAACTACATGTCTGTTCGTCCACCCATTGTAAAGCGTTGTGGAATTTGATGGCGCTATATAAATAGCATAATAATAATAATAATGGGAAGAGAAACGTTGTACTAGTGAGTGGCAAAAAGAGTTGCCAAATTGTGATTATTTGGGAATGTTTTTATTGTAATGTACCGTTTTTTGGTTGAGTCAATGGCTATGTGGTTTACAACCAACTGTCTGTGTCCAGGGCATTGCAGGAATCTCTGGCAGAGAAGTTGGTTTATATGTGCTCCTTTACTCTCCTACAAGAGTAGGTGAAATGAGGTCTCCCGTCCAATGACTCTAACTCACACTATTATCATACACTATATAAATAACTCCCTCTTTGTTTGCATGTTATAATCAGTTAAAAACTAGCTAAATGTATGGATTATGTTAAACATAGTAAAACCAGTATATACTTAGAAACAAAGATTGATAGAAACATGCATGAAAGGGCTGATGGACAGCCAGGCTGGTAGATAGATAGATAAATAGATAGATGTTTATTACTATATATTATACATTTATATATTGCGGTGTAGGTTTTTACTTTTCTGTGAGCAAAAACCTAGTAAAATGAAAGTCTGAACTTGCAAATAATGCAATTTTATAGGCTTTTTAATTTGGCAGTTTCTCATTTGCCCATAAAGTAAAAGTCTACATTTTTTATGGTAACGGATAAGAATTGAAGTGCGGATGTGTAAATACTTGTTTCATACCGCTTAATGGTCTTTTTATGAGTGGTCAGACACTTTGTTCAAAATGTACCTTTACTTGGGTAAACGGCCAAAAACAATGAAACAATAGCTTTTATTTGGGTATGCTTGAAGAACGCTAAAAGAATCATTTTTTGTCATAAAAAGGAAGAAATAATATAAAGCTATAAACGCAAGCAAACATCAGTAAATCTCAAACCACTTTATTAGTTAACTCAGGCATTGGATGAAAGAAAACAATGTTTAAGGTAGTGTGCTCAAAAGATCCAGTGTATTTACTGTTATGCAAATGAGAAAACATTTGAAGAAGTACTAAACAAGTATTAAAGAAATTGTGTGAGGTTTAGGAAGAAGAATACTCAATTATTTGGCAGGAAACCATTACATAAATACAACTACTGAATAAATAAAATAAAATGTAA